AGTTCACCAGCCACCACCAGGAAACCCCCATCCTTCATGTTCCCTCAACCCTCTGCTCCATCACTCTCCCACCCTTTCCCCAGGCAGCTGGACAACCCCTAGATATCGAGCTGGAGACACTGCCACATTGACAAAGCCGCGGGCCACTGCGGCCCCTCTCTCTCTCTGACCCAGGAGTAGTCTAATGTCTATGGCAGTGCCCCCCTCCCCAGTTAGTGTCACCTTACCCAAGCCTGCCCTCACCAAGGGCACCTATGCTTTCTAACCGAGGGCACCTATAAAGGAAGTGAGGGCATACTGGGCTCCCCTGCCCAGAAGGGAGGAGGGGAAAGAAGAAAAGGGGCACTTAAGGTACCCTGCCCACAGGCCAGGCCCAGAGAGCAGCTGGAGATACCCAAATGTTAATTACCAATTAGCGCAGTTCAGGTGGAAAGGGCAACTTTATTACGTGTAAAAAGGACTTAATGTGGCAGGAGCTGTGGGATTAATTTCTTGAGATAAGATGCTTTTAGGCTAATCAGTAGGTCTGTGATATCTGGATATAAAAGAGCCGGGGCAGACTTTCTTGAGACAGGTTCCAAAGAGCCAGAAGGGAGGAGGAGACGCCCGCCCTATCCTTCTGGGAGAGCCGGAAAGGAAGGCTGGTAAGAGAGCAGCTGGGATGGGGGTGGACGTGGACGTGGACAGGACACTGGAGAGGAGGTGGGTCTTGGCACCCCTGAGGTGTTTGGCACCCTAGCCCCTCACTTTCTTTTCCTCCGTGAAAGAAAGAAAAAGTGGGGCTGAGGGTTCCTTTAACACCCAGGTGACGACGCAGGAAGATCCACACATCTCTAGATCTAGCTTTGGTGTTCAGGGCTTGGGAGGAAGGTTCCTTACTGTTCTTCGTCTCTGCTGAAGATGGCCTGATGAAACGGGGCTTGCCCTTGGTAGAAGTGTCGGACATCCCTGAGTGGGGATAGTGAAGGCTGGGGGGTAGGGGTTCTACTTATGGTTTTCACTCAGGCCAAGAGGGCTGTGAAGATTTAGGTGACAGCCAGTCTGAGAGCTGGAAGGCTGGCTGGTATGAACTTTGGAGGCTCTGAAGGGAGAATCTTGCCAGTCCACATGCCTGTGATGTCTAGCCACAGGGGCCAGGAAGGCGGCTGTCCCTGCACACAGGCCTTCACTGCTTTCTCCTGCCAGGATCGCCCCCCTGCTGCCCTCCTCCCACCCCACTCAGATTCCACCTAAAAAACAAGAAGCAGGTCCACTCTCATCCAGGCTCCATATCCCTTCTAATGTCCCTTCTAACTCTAATGCCAGCTCCTCCCACATCCCCAAGGTGTTGCTCTAGCCTCTTAGAAAAGCTCCAACTCCCAAGGCACAGGGCCCCCCAGCTTTCAGACTCCCCACAGGCTCTGGGGCACCAGGAGTGTGCGGCCGTGTTGCCTGCTTCCTCAGCATAAGGCTTCCACCTCATGCCGGTCCTTTTCTCTCTTAGCTCAGGAAATAACCATTGGAAGATGGTGGCCATGAAGACCTTCTCTCTGCTGCTAGTGTCCCTGCTCCTGGCACTGGTGCTAGGAGAGAAGGAAGAAAGTCACTCCAGGTTGGGGTGAGAAGGAAGGGGTCAGGTGCCGGGGAGGAGGCTGGGGGCTGACTGGGTTCTATTTTCAAGGGGGAGGTGAGAAAGGGAGGGATCCCAGGCCAAGAGGAAAGATGCTTGACGGAAAAAAACTTTTCAGCAGTCTGAGTGCAGAGTGAGGCTAGAACCAGGGAGTCTTTTTTTTTTTTTTTTTTTTTTTTGGG